TGCTTCTGATTTCGAAACAGTGCCATCAACTATGATTGAAAAGCACCTGTTAAATGTAATCTCATTTTGAATTTTTTTATTTTTCATGGTTTCAATGAGAATGTTTATGTTATTATATGATAATAGGTTTGAATATAATTTCGTTTTTAATCCCTTATTTTTTTTATCCTTTTTTCTTTCTTCATTTTGCTGTATATACATTTATAGTATAGGTTCAGAATCTGCAATAAGCTTAATAAGGGCCATCATATTGCCTTCTTGTTGCCTGTTTCCCCAGAAGGCTTGGTTACGAGATATTAAATAATCTAAACATCTTATTATAATTCTTATAATAGAACGGTTATTATCTACACATTCTTTCTGAGGTGTTATAAATTTTAATATCGAATTTTTATTATGAGAAAGCCTTCCATAATCTGCCATCATATGTGCCTATGAAGATTCATGCAGAATAATATCACGATTAATATTTTGCCATTTATCTAGACCTTCACATGTGCATTTTGAATTTGCGTGTGGACCACCAAATAAGAGACATGTTAAGCAAAAAACTTTATACATTTTAATACTATAAGTAATCCAATTTCTAAGAACTTTGCTATTGTCAATATTGGTTAATATTTTTAGGCATATTTAAAAATTGGAAAAATAATTTATGACAAGAAATTTCGGATAACAAATTTACTAAACATCGACCAAAATTTCCGTCAATATATTAAATTAAATATTAAGTGGGGGGGGTCTCTTATTGTTACATTTATAAACCAGAAATCACATGATCATGATGGATGTAAAAAAAAGTACCCCCACTCAAATTTACTGAAGCAGTTGCTTCGGACCCCCCCCCCCCCGTTGTAGGGGCCCCTGATATCAGAAACCTGCAGATGTACCAATTGCACGGCCCGGCCCGATTTTTTTTAAAATATATTTTATTTATTTTTAATTTTTATAGCTAATGTCGATTTAAAATATACGGCCCGCTGCGGGTATTTTAAGAAAAAAATTCAAGCTCGGCTTGGGTATATTTAAAAAAATTAAAATCCCTGCCCTGCCGGTCTCTATAATATATGTTTTTTACTTTATATCTTTTACAAGTATTTTTTTAAATTATAAATTGAAGATTTTGAAACTGATAATATACTTTTTGGACGCATGCTACATTTAGTAAAGATAGAATTAGTTAATTGAATATATTATGTTACTGTAAAGTATTTATTATGTTTTGGCCATGGTCAATCAGATGATGAAATAACATCTATGCTTACAATTTATAAATAAATAATAATATTCAAATTAAACTAAAGACAGAAATAGTAGCTGGTTAAAAATATTCAAATGTGATAAAAGAAACAGCTGATTAAATATAATCCTTTTTTCTTAAAAAATTGGAATTAATATTTTTAATTTAAAATGAATAAAAATATGATTTTCTAAAATTGAGCGAACCTAAAAAACGGACGCGTTTATCATAAAAAAAGAACGCTTTTACGTTCAAAGTTCGTCAAAAGTAAAAAGAACCCCGTTCATTATTTTTAAAAAAAACGAACTTCGCTCACGAACGCTTTCATTTACAACATATTTGATACCCATGACAAGATATTATGTTAAAAAAAGTTACTCTCCTCTCCCCACACCTACCCTGATACCATATATTGTTAAATAGTAATATAAGGAATCTATCCTAATATTAAAAAGATTCTTATTTATTTATATGTATTCCAAAAAAAATCTTAATAACGAAATGTAATATTGACTCTAAGTTTATTCATATTATTCAATTCGATTATCTTTTATTATTTGGGAATTTCTATCTTTATATCACTTTAATTTACTAATTTTTGCTCCAATAAATTTTATTTCATATAATATATTTCATAACATAATTTATAAAGCTTACAGAAGAATAATTTGCATATATTTCAATATTTTATAAATTTGCAGAAGAGTAATTTAATATATTTCAATATTTTATAAATCTTGCAGAAGAATAATTGAATAGCGATCTTTTAACAATTGTTGATTATATCCATTAGTGATCATTTATTAATATTTACTTCATTAATTGGGTATATAAATTTTATAATCATCGTGAATATTTAAAAATATTACTTTCTCTAACTTAATCTCACTTACACAATTAATTTATACTTTGTACTCTAACACCTATGAATATTTTTGAAAGTTTATTTTTATTAATTTTGTATTATACTACCGAAAAATTAAGAAATCTTTATACATTGAAATTAAGAATTTGTTTTTATAAAAAAAAATAGAATGTTAAGAATTTGTTTTTTGTAAAAAAATAGAATTGACCAAAATCAAAGAATGATAAATCATAAAAAAATAAGTTCCCAAAAATATAATAATCCTTATTTATTATTTATGATTATGCTTTGTTTTCAAATTCTAACAATTAACAATAAGCATGATTGGCGTTCAATTAATAAAAATATAACTTTTTACTATAAACGAAAACTAGTAATAAATTGAACAAAAACTAGGACATGCCACACCTTTATGGGCACGTGACATTCCCTAAAAATTTTGTATAATATATATTAAATTGTTAAACAATATTATAAATAAGATATTACAAATTATTAAATAAGTAAACAAAGAAGAGGATTTTTCCAAATCATATTCACTGTGAGTAGTATAGATATTCAGAGGATTTTTCCAAATGATATTCATTGTGAGTAATATTGATATTAAGAGAATAATTACTATGATATCGTTTTTCGGCGTCAATAAAATATTTGTCTCACTATCATCAATAAAATTAGATGGAAAGGTAAATGACCAGAGTATATTGTTTTTCAAATGTATGGCTAAATGGTTATACGGACGTAATCGTTGGATTGATCACTAGCTTGTAAAGACAGTCATCAGCTAATAAGAATTTCCTAGATAATATTCATGGTGAGTAGTATTAATATTATGAGAATAATTGTTATGCTATCGTCTGTTGAGCTATCATCAATAAAGTTAAGTGAAACGGTCAATGACCCCTGGTTGAAACGTGTAATTCATTTTTATTAAAAAACTATCACGGATTTATTTCATGAATTGCGGAATTTTCATGTTGGCCTTCTTTGTTATCAAAATTAATCAAAGGTGATTATGATGGTATGCTAGTATTAAATACCAGAACGGATTTTATTTTACAAATTTTATAAAATAACAATTTAAATAAAAAATTATTTATTTTATTGATTTTTTAATACGGATATAATCATTGTTGAAAAAAAACTATCAATTATTTAATTAAGGCAATTAATAAATTTGATGCATAAAAACTTGGAGAAAAAAATAGAAATAACATCTGAGATTAAAAACAATTAAATTATCAAAGGGTTATCCATTGGAGGAAAAAAATGAACATAACACATACCAGGATAAAGGAGAAAAAAATTTCACCAACAAAAAAAACTGATATGTGCATCACAAAGTTCATTTATTAATTAAAAAATTCAACAAATTTTATTTAGATAATATTTTTAATATTTGCTGAACACCAAAGTAAACACTATTTATTTCAGTATATCCAAAGAACAGGCAAGTTTAAATTCTTCAATTATTTTATTTTTGATGTGTAAACTTTCATTAGAGTCTATGACATCTGAGCTGAATCAAGGAGAGTTGGCTTCAAAGTTAAACCTCAATTATTTTATTTTTTATGAGATCACAAATACTAAGGTAAAAATTCATATATTTTAAATTTATATAAAAAAATTTCTTTTTACCTTTCAAAACCGAATTAATCAATTCAGATCCGCTAGTCGCGAGCATCACTTTCTAAGTTCTCTAACTTACTCAGATATATATTAATACTTCGTACTCTAACACTTAAACAAAACAATAATGACACTTGAATATTTTTGAAAGTTTATTTTTATTAATTTTGTATTACACTACCGAAAAATTAAGAAATTTATACATTGAAATTAAGAATTTGTTTTTATAAAAAAAATAGAATATTTAGAATTTGTTTTTACGTCTAAAAAAATAGAATTAAATCCTAAAAAAATAAGTTATTAAAAATATAATAATCCTTATTTATTATTTATGATTTTGCCTTATTTTCAAATTCTACCAATCAGCAATAAGCATTATTGTGGATTGGCGTTCAAATTTATTTTATAACATTTTAGAATAAACGAAAACTAGTAATAAATTGAACAAAAACTAGGACAATTACAAACTTTTTCTTCGTTTCCATAGTGTTTATTTCTTTTACATAAAGTAAATTAAATACATGGTCAACGACAGGTTCAATTATTTATTAATAAATATATATGTTATTTAATTAATCAAATATAACACCCGACATATTATCTCGAGATTTTTTTACCCACCCCTCACCGCCTTTCACCCCCAACACTTACCCTGATAACAAAGTGTTGAGTATCAATGTATTCAATATATCTTTATCAGCTTTCATTTGATGTCAAGATATTATTTTAGAATTGTAACCCTTCCCCCTCCCCCAATTCGCCATGACTTAGACATTAGAACACGGATTATTAATAAATCTCAATAATTTATTTAATTAATTTTGATTTGAAAATATAATACTTTTATAGCAAAAATTTCTGAGCTATTTAGTATATTTCTTCTGAAAAATTCTGAGCATTACAGTTTTTTTTCTGTGCCATATGATATTTTTTTTACATTTTTATTTTTTGCCATCTTTTCCAATTTTCAAAATTTTGGTAATGTGTAAGGTTAATTATATAGATATTGCAAAAAATATCACGTCTAATTTACTTCAACTTTAAATTTTCTTCAACTTTAAATTTTCACCTTACCATTCAACTGTTTTATCTAAAAAAATGTAAATAGTTTATGCAATAGCCATCCAGATTTTATTTATTGATAATGGATGTTTCATTAAAATATACCGTTAAAATAACTCACAGTAAGCGTAGAGCCTTATACTTAGATTCAGTCTTACATTCGCCTTAATTTTACCTAATCATTAATTTATAATATTATTATAGTGGACCGTTAATGGCAAATTAAGAATTGGTATTTTCTCCAAAAAACGTATTCCTAAGTATTCTGAATTGACTTTCGATTATCAATCACAAAGATATGGGTATATTTTTTATAATGTTGATTTATTTATTTTATATTTTACAATTTCCTACGGCATCGATTGAAACTATTTTCAAAATATAAATTTCACTTCTATGGATATGATAATAGAGGTCTGCAAAATCAATGTATAATTTTAACCTTAAAACCAGGGATGCGGAACCCGGCAAAATTTTACTCGGATTTGGTTCGGTTTGAGGTTAAAAAAAATAGGTGGGTTTGGTTCAGGGAAATATTTTTGAACCCGGGTTTGGTTCCGGGTTCAGCTCTATTAAGAATTTTTGAATTGATAAAAAAAATATTATATTTAAATCATAATTAAAAAACTAGACATAAATTTGGGTATAAAATTTTTTTTTTATTTAGGCAAAATATAATTATAAATACAAAGCATAGTCATGTATAGATTTAAAAAAATTTATTTAGACGTATTTCTTTAAATTAACAATATCCAATATAATAATTTTTACTTTGACCTGTTCATTTTCATTTTCCTTATAATTTTTGAGAATAAGTTTAAAATTAAAAATAAATGGCGTAAATGAATTAAGTTCTTTAAAATTTATTAACACTTAATTGGAAATTTAAAAATATTATAAAATGTCAAGTAAATTAGTAATATTTATATTTACAATTATACAAATATCTTATATTAATTTGAACAATACACTGAACCCGGTTGAACCCGGGCTCAAATAAAATTTCCGGGTTCGGTTCAGGGTTTCGAAAATTTTATAAACAGGGTTCAGTTTCGATTCGGGTTCAAATTTTTTTCTTTTCTTCTCCGGGTCGGTTCAAACCCCCAGTTAAAACTATTTTGCGGTTCATTTATATTTTTACTACGCTAGAAATTTAGATGTGATTTTCAACTCTTTATATTTTATAATAAAATTGTTGTTAAACTTAGTTAAAATTTAATTGTCAATCGATTATTTTTTTTAAAATTAATATTTTCCAAGTCCCATTCATAAATTGTGTTTGTCAAATTGCAATTATCAAATAATTTAATTTTTTACCAATTTTATTAAAATTTTTTGCGCGTTTCATGAGCCGTAATGTTTTTATTGTTTTCTATTTGTGATAATACATTCGGCGCAGCATTATGGTTATTATTTGGATTTAATTAAAATAGTTTATTTGAAAAAAATGCCTTCAACCCTGGCTATGTTTCAGTCCATAAAAATCGAAAAGAGAGGAAATAATTAGAGGGGACTATGATTTTATTATATCATTTAGAAATTTAATCGATTGGGAATCTGCCAACGAATTGGCAGAAGTGGAGGTTTTATGTAGGTTGCAGAGGGCTTGCCTAAGTTTTAATTTTTAGACGGATAAATCGACCTCAAAGTAACCGGCCAGCATAGAAAGTAATAGAACTTATAGAAAACGACACCAGTACTGTATTGTATGATGCTACAATTATGCCCATCCAAATGGTAAAGGACTTTGACCATGAACTGCCACAGGTATAGGATGTCGAGGTGGGAGTACTTGGCGAAAACAAGCAGTTATAAGTCGGGGCAGAGATGGCTATATGAATAGGATAATGTGATCAAGGACGTTTTGCCGGTGTTGAGCAAAATTATGGTGAACACCGTTTTAGAAGAAAGAAAATAACATACCGAAAAAATGACATGTACCTAGTGTTCCTAAGAATATTCTAATATTTTAGATTACATTGGAATATTTTTCTAATAGTAAAAAAAATATTCTAGTAATGATATTTTTAAATGTTAATATTTTCGTATAAAATTTTGTTATAATTATAGGCTTAGAAAATTCCTTGCTTTTAATTTTTTTATGTAGGGATGGATCTACTGCTTTAATTATCTAAATTACAACTTAATAGTATTATATTATTATTGATGTTGCTTATTCATTTTCAGATGGCTTTTAGTGGAGTGGAGATAATATACATTTTTATACTAAACTTTTGTATTCTGATTTCTGTACATGCAATCAATATTTGTTATATTTTAAAAATAAAGTCATAAAATTTGTAGTTATGATAATTTTTATAATGGTAATGAATGAAATTTTTTTTATAATTATTCGTTTACCACGACTCTTCATCATACTATAATGGGTTCAGTCCTTTTTTATTCAGGATCTCAGTCAGATATCAATCCTTAAAATTTGATAACACTATGTAATAAAATATCGCATGGATTCGTTCCCGGATCCATCAGACCACTTCTATTCGACGCTATAATAGCACTCGAAAAGCCAAATAAATACATTCGACCAATAGCAATTAGAAACGTATTTCGCCGTGTTGTTGATAAACTCATCTTCCAAAATTAAAGACACCAATTTTAGCAATCTACCAACTTGGTATTGGCATCAATAGTGGTTGCGAAATAGCCGCACACGCTGTCGTATCTGTCTCCAAAGCAACTCAAGTGACGAAATCCTCGTCAAATGGGCTTTCCTAATGTTTTCAACTCCATCACCTATCTCATTTTCTTCCACAAATATACCATTCACTTCCAACCTTTTCTCAATTTTCCCACTCCTGTTATTTCTTACCATCTCTTCTCCAATTCAACAATTATTTGCTTTCATCATCAGAAGGGATCTAACAAGGCGATACTTTGGGTTCGTCACTTTTCTGCATAGGAATTAATGAAATGGTTAAAAACATTTCCGCCGTTTATAATCTTCTATTTCATACCTGGATCGACAATGGAAAATTTTTCCCTTCCCAAAAAGGTTGCAAAGACTAGCTATTATTCCAAACAATTGGAATTTCACTTAACTAGCAGAAAATCGAAATCTACTCAATATACTTTTCCATTTCATTCACCCATAACTTTCACACAATCGAACTCTCATCCCTTACTCCTCTAGGATCCTAGTTGGTGGTTTAGAATCCATCAATCACTTCGCAAGTGTTTCATCTAGCCTACTTCATTTAAAAACATCTTTCTCCTCATCAAGCTTTTTTTCTTCTCAAAAACTTTTATTATATTCCTAATTCTATACGCTCTTTAATCCACTTCAATTTTCAAATTTCCAGATTCATTATAATCATTTGAAATCCATAAAATCTCTTTCTGAATTCTTTGGTCAAAGAGTCAGCTTCTGAATGTGCCATCCAACCACAACATCGATGCTCTTGATCTTGCGGAAGCCCGCATAATCATTAAATACAGCTCCATCGATCTTTTTTACTCATTCATGCACATCGCCTGCTCCATTCTTACTATTTTCGGCAGCAAAGCTCAATTCTTTTTTAAAGATTTAGGGAGACAGATTTGCGAAAAGATTGAATCAGTCTAGGGAATCTTCCTTTTTACAATAAGGGTTTGCTACTACCATTATTCATTTACACTATCTAAGTTATATTTCTTCTATCGCGTGCCTCCTTATACCTTTTTCCTTATCCTACCCATTATATTTTTATATTAATCGCCTTTATCAATTTTGTCTTAGAAAAAGAAATTTCTTTTATAATATTATATTAGTTATATTTACTCAAATAAAGAAACTTGAACAGAAAAAAAGTTATCGTATGAATGAATCGAATAAAATAATCGAACTGATATTCATTAATAATATGTATGTTTGAATAATTGAGATATTCTATTTGTAAAATTGGAGCACCATACATACCTCACCCATAATAGCCCCTATTTCGCATACATTTATAAGAAGTCAAATTCAAGAGGGATGATCCCTAGTAACCTCAGTCTGCGTTCCTGATCTAGTGAGATATTGGGTTAGGGCTCTGAACCTGTAGATTGGAATTAAAAGTATAAACGATGGTTGGAATTAAAAGTATTAATAAGGACGGCTATGAAAGGATGCTGTGTGTAACGAGTAAAAATATTAGTGAGTGTGATATTTTTTTCTATTACTGGTCATTATTTATGATTTTATTGAATTAATTATTATTTATTTGCTTAAAATTAATAAACCAAATTATCTGTAATGGGATTAAAATAAACATTTAACAAAAAGCATTAAAATTGATATTGACTGCACTTTTAAGAAGCAGACCTCAATTATATAAGAGATGGAAGGAAGTTTATTACATTAAATCATTCTTATATCAATATTTATAGAAAGGTGCTCCGGTACCTTTAATATATATTATAAAATAATCAAATCTTTATATTTTACGCTACTCAATATATTGTCACATGGTATGTAAAGTCGTGAACCTCAAAAATGTTTCTGTAGTTCAGCCAATTGCAGAGGATATATTGATAAAAATTATTTGCCAGCTACTACTGTTTCACCTCTTTTAAATAATAGCTACATTCCTGTAAATGATAACAATGATGATAACCCCATAACGAACACGATTACCAAAAGAAATCAAATATTTTCTGAGGATCCTTATTTAGAAGAAGAAATTGAGGATCTTTTTAGTAAATAAAAAATTTGGAACCATTTATTTATAAAATTATAAATAAAGAAATATCAAATATCACCGATGACTCTGATATTAAAATCTCGGAGGGAAATGCTCAGAACTTTGGATTACAAAATTCGGAAAACATGTTAAAATTTTGTAGACTGATGATTAGGACCGAAAAGCCTTTATTTAAGATTAAATTATTAAAATTATTGAAGGTAGTATTTCCATTATTATGAAATTAATTCATGTGTTAATTAGTTTTCAAGGCTGGATATTTTGACCTTATTTATAAATCTTCAAGGTCTTAATTTAATGTGGACCTGGATGGCCTCCATCCCTGATATTGATAGAGTAATTTATCCAAAAGACTCTAGTTATGAAGAATTTGAAGAAAACATTGTTCTAAGTTTCAAGGTTGGTATATTATTTTGAAAATTGCATACTATATCATTTATGTTGTCATTTTAGATCTTGGAAGTTTTACTAAAGCTTCCTATAACTACCAAAGAGTCATTAGAAAAATCCAAAATACCAAAAGTATTAGAAAAGTGGGCCTCGATGCCACATTCCTTACAACAACAAAGCGTTGACATCGAAAAATTAACCACGGAATCTCAAAAAGTATTGGAAGAATGGAACAATATCAAAGTTTTTTTATAAAAAGTTAATTACTAACTTATTTTGATATTTTAGGAAATTTACAAAATTCCGAAGAAAAAAGACAATGCATCAGGTATTAAATAATAATGATAGTTCTCCCACTAATATTAGTATTCAGCTACAATTAATATAAAAGATGGTAATTAAGCATAAATACCCCAGACAAAACCCAAAGATATTTTACTATGTTTAAAAGGGGCAAATATTTTTTTTAAATTTAAGACTGACATGATAATGGATTGGGGATGTGCCGGTCCATATTTTTCATCGATCCTATCCGATATTTTACGATATTGGTTCAAACTCGATCCGATATTTACACTGATTTTTCACCACCCCCCTTTGAACCAAATGTAATTAAGAAATTAATATTTCTTATGCAAAATCGAATTAATGAATCTTTTATTATTCCTCCTCATGTAATTAGAATTCCGCAAATAACGCATTTTACAAAATTATCTTTGTCTTTTGTAAGTATTTCCATAATTCAAATACCATATTTAAAAAAATATTTTATTTAAAGTATAAATAATAAAATTGGCGTTATTCTTTAAGAAGATTAAGATAAATAAAACTTTGGGTGTTCCTTTCTATTTTTATAAAAAAACTTTTAAAATACTATAAATCTATTTAAATAAATTAAATTTAGGGGGTTTTGTGCATTTGCATTGTTTAAAAAAAAATATTTTGAAAATATTATAATGTAAAATAAATATACATTAAATAAAATAAAATAACAAAAAGAAAAAAAAAGATCGGATCGGTTTTTTACAAATATCGGCCCAATTTAATATTTTGGGAAAACGCTAAATATCGGCGCCTATCCGATCCGATATTTAATTTCGGCACAGCCCTATAATGGATTCATATGATCCTTATGTGGGCTAGCATTACGTCTCGTAATTGAGTATGTTTGCATTATTGTAGGGCTGTGCCGATCCACATATTTTTCACCGACCCTATCTGATTATTGCTTCAAAACCGATCCGACACCGATCTGATATTTATACTGATTTTTAATCGCCCCCGTTTGAACCAAATGTAATTATTTAATCAATATTTTTTATGCAAAAAATCGAATTATGAATTTAATTTAATTTAATTTTTTTATTTCTACAATTAAGACTAAAATAAAAAATATATATTTAATAATATATCCATTTTATGTTGGTATGAATCATAAAATTGTAATATTTAATATATAAAATTATAATATATTAGATTTTTAAAATAAATATGACAGCCTCCAGATTTTCTGGGAATAAGCTTCTACGATATGGACTATCTATATCTCTTGCCGTACTGTAGGCAGACTCAGATGATTTTTCAGATAACGCATTTTTCAAAATTATCTTTGCCTTTTGTAAAATATTTCCATAATTCGGATACCATATTTAAAATTCTTTTATTTAAAGTATAAATAAAAAAATTGGCGTTATTTAAAAAGATTTAAAATAAATAAAACTTGGCACTAATTTTCCATAAAATGTACTACTCTACCCTTGTAATTTGTCTAATGCAATTGACAGATCTTAAAACCTTACAATATCTCCTTCTCTAAAAATGGGACATAAATTGTTTCAAGATAAATTTAACACCTGGTTATCATGGAACTTTCCGCTGATTACCACGTGTTATCTCCCTTATACTTTCTCAAGATTAGAACCTTCCTAATGCATTCCATAATTTTGTACATTTTTTGAGTTTATAGTGCAAAAAGACTATTTTTGATGTTTGATGGCTATGATAAAGTGTGGCAGACATACCTGATGTGTCTGGTTACTTTATTTATTTCATCTAAAGATAAAAATTTAAAAAAAAATTCTATACTAACCATATTTAGATCATTCTCATCCTAAAAATCAGTCATGATTATTTAATTTTACACCAAATAACTTGACAGGATACATTATCCTTTAAAGTATCATTTAGTTTATCAGAAATCCCACATTCTCTATAGACTGTATTTGTAAATTATATCAAATGAATGTGTTCCAGACATTCTTCTACATGCCTAAGCTATTGATTATCTTTCAATGTCTCGTGTTCTTTAAATAATATATTGCCCGGGAGTTGTTATTCCCATAAAACTACGGGTTTTTGTAAACCACAAATCTGTCGTGGTGCAGATATTTGATTGAGCCTTTAAAATACTTTTTAAAGTGCTTATACTTTCTCAATAAATTCCTCTATTCTTCTCTGAAAACATCTTGAAAATATTTTAAATGATCCAACATTACTAAGAATATCTTATTAATATCTATCTATTCTTCTTCTTCTCCATTTTATGGCTATTCCGTTTACCTAGGTAGGTCAGTTTTCCCTATATAAATTATATAACTTTTCATCATTGTAATAAATTCAGGCTGTTCATAGGCTTGAAACCCTTGACAATAATTGTACATATCAACTTATCAATTTTATTTTGTGTAATTATTAGTTTTATTATATTAATGGCATTTTATGAAGCTGACATACTGAGTTGAAACATTTTTTATAGAGGTATAATTTTTTGTTTTTCTTTTGAGCTCTTTTAGATACAACTTATATTGGGTATAAATGCCTAAATGGCGTCTTTAAAAAATATATATATAATTATATTATAAGATAAAATTATCATATATATAATAAACTTTTAACAAATTTTGTGGAGTTTATTGAATTCTTTATCATTTTTTTATTTGTACAGGTTTGACATTCAGCTTTTTGACTTGAATTATTTTAAAAAAATTTCCATCTTAAATTTTAAGATTTGGATGTTGTTATTTTTTTATCTATCAGTTGTTCTAGCTAATTTTGGTTGTCAATATATTTAATGGCGGAAGTAAAGGAAATTAATACAAGATTCCACGAATAAAATAAGGTTATAATCTATGATCTGTAAATTTATTAAACATATTAAAAAGAATCTATCTTTTGCCAAGAAAATGAAAAAGATACAAAAATTTCAGAATAAAGGATCTTAGATACAGATATTAGTATCTTATTAAAAATGTCAAAAAGATACTGAGTACAAGACACAAAAGAATCTTGTATCTTAGATACAAGTATTCGTAGTACTGCCCAACTCTGACAACATCCTATGCCAGAATACAAAGATGAACTTTATTATTATCAGATTACCATTACGAAATATAATTCAAGAGTAGCCTATAAATACCCAATGCTAACATACTATTTTAATTTTTTCCTATACAGGGGAACACAATATCAAAAGGAGAAACTCTAGATCAAATAATCAAAGAAAAACAAAGATGATTTACTTTCTAAAGTATACAAGCATACAATAGATGGATGGCTAATAAACTATGATATGGGCCTAAAGAAATATAGCCGAATAGAGAAAGGTTGTTTACCATGGCGAACTAAAATGATATCACAACAATACTGAAGCAATCTGTATGCCATGATACATCAAGGACATATTAGAATGATTGCCACAAAAGACATCAATTCAAAATTCTTTAAAACTACCAAAAGTATGGTACCAAGTACATACTTATTATTCTGGACATTTCAAAATCATTATTGGTGCTAATGATACATGCTAGCAGACGCTGGCTAGATTTCCCTATGACTAGTACAACCACAGAAAGCACGATAAAAACATTATGGAATATCTTTGTCAGATTCAGATTTCTCAAAATATAATAGTTTCTGATAGCGGGCCACAATTCAGTAGTAAAGAATTTAATGATTTTTGTGAAAAAAAGCGGAATACAATTAGTACATGGAAGTCTGCAAGGAAGATTTAAAATTCTTATCAAATCAAAATATGTTGAATTATCTTTTTGAACTTTAAAAAATTTTTTTTTTGCTTAAAATTTTAGGCGTGAAAATCACTAATAAATTGTAACAAAAATATAATTACAATAGCAATTAGCAACATATCATTTTTTTATTAAAAAAACATCAAATAAATAAATTTAATAATATAAATAAAAAATATTAAACCATATCATGTTTATTTGTTGATAATAATAAAATATTTACACTAAATATAAATAAAATAAATTATTTTACTAAAATAAATAAATAATAATTAATGCTAGGCATATCTTGCGGAACGCTGACGGATGATTAGCCGATGCAGAATTTTTCACTAATTTAGTTTTACCCGATTTTTAGGCTAAACCTAATTAGGCTTAGCCGACTTTTTCACCTAAAATCTCGGCTAAGCCGTTTTGTAGTCGGCTAAAATTAGCCGATTACGCAACACTAACTATTACTATTAATTTGTTGGCTTACCAAAACTGTTGTTATCTCAGGTTCTTATTTATATTAAGATTTTTATAATTGTTAATGAATTTAAATGAACTTTAATGTTTTAGCAGTCCCTTTTTTGCAGCTAGCGCATTTTTCCAATTGCTGAATCCCTTTTGTCCCAATTCATAAAGCAGCATTATCTTTTACACTCTACTCCTACCACTCTCGACCCTTATACCATAATTTTTAAAACAATCTTAGCCTTTCATGGATAACTTTTTTCAGATTAATTTGATTTTCTTGATAGATTCTGGCCAACACCTGGGATTTGAATTGAACTTGAATCATTAGGGTACTTTTTTGACACCAAAAATAACATTATAATTATTAAATTGAAAGAAAGGGTGATAAATAGATAATGTACATAAATCATGTGAAAATCTAAAGGAAATATGTTGAAAATGAACATATACAAAATTCTATATCTTGTATTTAAGATACAATATTACAATACTGCCCACTCCTGAAGGACATTATTAAATTAATTCTCCCAGTATAATTATAGATATTCTATAATAATAACCAGATTATATTCACTTGTTGTATTACAATAACATTCACATTTCTTTTCTACAAACTCGAGCAATATCTATTAAATTTTAGCATGAAGGTTGTTAATATAGGACGATTAAGTTTGGTTTTCCAATTTTTTTCGTTTATTATGCTTACCACAGCTCCAGTATCTAATTCCATTCTGATATCTATTCACCCAAAATTCTGAATTATATTCATTTGTTGCATTTTTAATAAAATTCGCTATTTCTTCTACTATGTGCCTAATTTTGTTGTATTATAACAAGTGACAATCTTGAAAGGACAATTTCCCTTTTATGGTATCCGCCGCAGAAATTGCAGGAATTTCGTTTTTTGCAGATCGTATTAATGTAGTTATATTGTTTTGATTATTTATTATTATCATCATTATTAACTTTTATTTTACATTTATATTATCTTGTTCATCTTCTAGCTGATCAATTGTAATTTCTTCTTTTTGTGTTATTTATAGCTGTTTATTTATATTCTAAATTATCTTCGGATTATAATCCTTGTAATATTTTAAGATTTTTAGTCAAAATATAAATTTATCTCTTAAAGCATTCTCCATTCTCCAAAATCACAAGTCGTTGATAATTTTCGAAGGTTTTTTATATAGTCTATTAATATTACATCATTTTCTTGATTATACTGAAAAAATTATATCTCTCTACAATAATGTTAGGTTTGGGATGAAAAAATTTGATTAAAATATTATGTATTTTTAATACCTTTTTCCCCCGGACTATCAGGTTCACATAAATTTACAAGTATTTTGTATCACATCCTATTGTTCTAAGAGTGATTTTTCTTGTTTAGGTATTAATAAATGATTATGTTTTAAAATTGTTAGTCTTTATATCGCTGTTTTGAGTCGGTTAAGGTTTAATTGACTGCGCTATTTTTGTAATATATTGAAATAATATATTATATTAGTATTTAAAAAGCAACTTAAAACTTTCTATATTTCATTTCAAATCCCACAATATATCATTATCCATTTTTAAATGTGTATTTAAATAAAAAAATAATAAACATTACAGTTCACTGAACTGTTGTTAATAAAAGCTAATAAAAAATTGAGTGCTAAATCATCATTCTAAACCCCCGATAGGTCATGAAGAAAGCATAGAAGAGGGTAGCATAAAAAGTTATATTCTGATGATTTATAAACCAACTAAACAGATGTTCAAGGATTGTTAATCTGCCCCGAGCGAGCTTCAGGCCGTGCCTATTTTTTAGAAAAATTAGGTTGGGTCGGGTCTAATATTTTTTTTAAAAAATCGGGCCAGGCTTAATTTTTAATATAATCAATTTTGTGAAATTGATTGATATATAAAATTTTTTGCAGAAACAAGGCCACCAATATCTTTTATTTGTATAATATTTTTATAATTAAAAAAATTTTAAATTTTTCTTTATTTAAATAATTTCAGGCCAGACGGACTTTATTTTAATTTCGGACTGGGTTTTTCGGAATAAATAAATTAAAATTTTGATTTTTTTACTTGCCAGGCCAAAAAAAATTAGGCCTGATGAAGATCATATTAAGGATAACTGTTATTATATTTATAAGTATATTCAATATTTGAAATCATATCAATTTTTAAACAATTATTCTATAATTGATAGAGGACATATCTCGGCCCATGTCATTTTGCAATACCGATAAATATATGGGATTGGAATATTGTCAAATTAACGATTATTACAATAGAGATTCTAGTTCTTCATCCAATGCCAGAAATGACTATTGTTATGATGAAAAAAGTTTATATTTGATTAACTATTCAATTTATGAAACGTATAATATACTTTTAAATTATAAATCAGGTATTAGGGGAAATCGGGGCATGTCGGATAAAATTTTATAAAACCCTCAATTTTTTTACAGTCCAGGTTCATAAAATAATTTTTTACTGCTCGAGTTTATAAAAAACATCCAATGACCAGGATTTCAAAGAATACATCAATTCTACAGATTAAACTTCTTTTTTAAGCTAATAGAATTTTAATATCTAATAACTTTTAAAATTATCTTCTTTATTTTAAAATGAATATTATTTCTTTATACTAAAGAAAAACTACATTTTTGTTCAATTTTGGCGAAATGTATTTTATTTTTAATATTGTATATTTGATTGAACAAAAATAAAAATTATAATAATTAGTCTTTAAATTAATAACTTATTTATCAATCACAATAAAATAAAATATATAACCACAAATTAAAATGATGTGGTTGGTTATATTGAAAGTTATTCTATAAAATTTAATAATTTATATAAAAAAATTCTTGTAATATTAGTTGGATTTGGTTATTATATTGTATTTATTAAAATAGTAACTATTTCGTTCTTTCTTTCTTTTACTTTATGTTGTTGACTAAAAATAAAAATCATTAATTAATTTCCTAAATTAATAACTATTTTATTTACCTAGTATAGTAAAATATATACGGACATAAAAATTGTGTGATTTAACTAAAAACTAGTATAATTTGTTAATAATTTTTTAAAAAACTATGCTTTTCTTTTAAGTACAAGAGATATAAAAGGTTTTCAAATGGAAACAGGAAATACGAGAAATCAGTTATAGAATAGGAACATGGATTTAAATATATTTTCGAATTTATAATTTGAATTATAAAATATTGTTTCCTTAGACATAGTCCTTTTATCGCACTGAAGACTGGTGCATTAAATTTTATGAGATGCATCCAAGTAATAAAGAGTGATAGAACCCAATTACAACAAATTTTTTATGTATAATAATTTTTTCGATACAAATTTTAAACATTTATTTTCGTTTTTAATTGATATTTAAAAAAAATAACTTATGTAAAAAAAAGGAAAAGTGTCCTTAGATAATACCTTCAGAAAGATATTTAAAATAAATAAACCATGAACTTACTACAATGAATTTTAAAATTTCCATATAGTATTTAGAGTAGGCCTCTAAAAAATTGAATAATCAAATGTAAATTTAAAATCAAATAATATATTATTCATAATATGAATGATGAATAATTCAATTTTATAAACGTACTTTTTGGAAATCTTATAGAGTAAAGTACACAACAAAAAAGATAAAATTAAAATATCGCATAAATAATCCTACATGTTAGTTGCAATTATAATAGAAATAACTATTTTTAAAAAAAATTTATAATAAGAGCAATTTAGAGTCAAATTTATATATAAAAATCTAAATTATTAATTTCACTTTATTAAACAATTTTTCTAATTTTATTAAAACTGTAGTTATCAAGCCTCCATATCAACATTACCCATCTCCACGTTCTAATAGTATTTGGCAAAACAATTATAATGATAACAAACGCTTAAAGAAAAATTTTTACGAACCAAAAAACGATCGCAAGGATCATATTTTAATGTGTAGAGAAAACACTCCAGAACAAAAATACAATCATTTCCATATTAAGTAAAAAAATTGATTTTGAAACTTTTTATATTTAATATCACATGAGAGCTTGCTAATATTAATGTAACGAACGAATTATCATTTTTATTACTCTTAGTAGGGAAGGACTGGGCACCCAATATCTCCATTTGTGTTGCCTTTAAAAGATTACCTATGTTATATTTTTTGACAAAACTTGACCAAAACAATGAGTTAAAAGTGTGAAAAAGACTAGTGTTTTACACATCATAATTTATTATAACATAATTGCACATATGATCATATATATTCCACATATAAAATCCAAAGTGTATGAACGAATTATCATTTTTATTACTCTTAGTATCTGGGAAGGACTGGGTACCCAATATCTCCATTTGTGTTGCCTCTAAAAGATTACCTATGGTATATTTTTTGACAAAACTTGACCAAAACAATGAGTTAAAAGTGTGAAAAAGACTAGTGTTTTACACATCATAATTTATTATAACATAATTGCACATATGATCATATAATATAAAATTGTATTTAAATCTTTTTTTAACAAAAATTTAAAAATCGGATTTTTAACATTTAAATCAGATACTTTAAACATTCGGATTTATGAATAAAATTTTTACAGCCTTATTTATAAAATATACAATTTGAAAAGATAAAAATACAAAAATATTTTTAATTATACTGTTACTAGTTACGAATAATGTATAAAACAGGTTGAAGATGAGAAATACTACATTGATTCTGATTTTGGAAATATTTTATGTCTTAGATTTGTGCTTCTAGTATTATTTTATCTACAACCCTTCATAGCATAGTGATGCTATGTAGATTCCAGTTATTTTAAAACGTTATTACTTAAAATTCCTTCAAAATTTTTGTCTGGATCTTTTAATAGCTTATATTTTTGGGTTAAGTGTATGTTCAAACTTGATTTTTATTTTGTTAGTTCATGAGTTATAACTGTTTAGCTTGAGGTTGCATAGACCCCACAGTTCAGCGTGTAACATGTTTTTAATTTATTTTAACATTGATATATTAACCATAAATAAACACTTTTTAAACTTAATTTTTATTAGTTAAAAACAGGGATGGTTCGGTTTAAGGTTAAAGAAATAGGGGGTTCGGTTCAGGGAAATATTTTTGAACCCGGGTTTGGTTCCGGGTTCAGCTCGGGTTTAAGAATCTTTGAATTGATAAAAAAATATATTCTATATTTAAATCATAATTAAAATACTAGACATAAATTTGGTACAAAAAATAAATTTTTTATTTTATTTATAGGCAAAATATAGTTAAAAATACAAAGCATAGTCAAGTCATGTATAGATTTAAAAAAATTTTTTAAATTAACAATATCCAATATATTAATTTTTAATTTGACTTGTTCACTTTCATTTCCCTCTAATTAATAATCTTTGAGAATAAGTTAGAAATTAAAAATAAATAGCGTAAATAAATTTAATTGTTTAAAATTAACAATCCAATAGGAATCTTTGAGAATAAATTTAAAAATGGAGTAAATGAATTAAGTTCTTTAAAATTTATTAACACTTCACTTAATTGAAAATTTGAAAATATTATAAAATGTCAAGTAAATTATTAATATTTGTATTTACAATTATACAAATATCTTATATTAATTTGAACAATTCACTGAACCCGGTTGAACCAGCGTTCAAATAAAATTCCCGGGTTCGGTTCGGGGTTTTGAAAATTTTATAAACGGGGTTCAGGTTCGGTTCGAGTTCAAAATTTTTTCAAAAACCCGGGGTTTCTTCTCCAGGTTCGGATTCGGTTCTAACCCCTGATTAAAAAAATATTATACTACATCACCAATATTTATATCCTATTCTGGCATTTTAAAATAATCCGTCAGTTAGCGAGTCTCTTAGCAAAAGCTATCATAAAATTTTAAAATAAAAGTTAGTCACTAAATTAGAGTTTATTTAATATTGTTTAAAATATGAACGCTACAAATTAATATGTTTCTAAAATATGGCTTGTCTATAAATTGAGATCCAGAGAACTCCACTATTGCCAAATTTAGTCATATACCAATTATTTGTAGCTTATTATTATATATAATATTGTATTTTATTACCTAATTCATATTCTTGCCTTCTTATTTATCATAAAAATGACGAAAAGTAATCAATATATGCCATTTCCGGTCAAATCCGATCGATATATGCAATTTTTTATCTTTCATTTTTAATATTCCACATATAAAAATAAAATCATTTATAACATTTAATATTAGACATGTTTCGCATAATATTGTATATATTTATAAAATTTTTATTTGAATATATCCTAAAAAACGAAATTAATTCTTGTCATAATTTTCTACTGGGGACTTTGGCCATTTTGATAATGATTTTTTATACCTTCATTATTAATATGCTGAAATTTATTTTGTTGCATATAACTAATCAGGCCTCTTTTTTTAGAAATTTTTTTAAAACTTGGTTCAATATAGGTCAAAATATCTCAATTTTATAACGATCAATATGATTATTGGGTCCTTCATCTCTATATTCATCTGAATATATTCTTTTTGTGCAGCCATTTCTCTGAGATGGTAATTCATATTCTATGATAATGTCTTAACGTTTAATCACTTTGAATACTTAATTTAAATAAAATCCAAATTAGACATGGTCCACGTGGTATTTCAATATTCTTTTATAACCACGATAATGGTGCAATTATTTTTTAAAAATGGGTATTGTTGATAATTTAAGTTTTCAATAAACGAAAGCCTTAAAATAAGTTTTAAATTGTGAATCTACAATAATCTTTTCCACCCATATGGCAATTTTCTTTAGATCATTTCGTTCGTAATCTTCTTAAACTTCTGCCTACGAAATCATTTCTATCCTCTATACCTGCATACATTTATAAGTATCTCCAAAAAAATGTGGAAATTCTATAGATTCTAAGGATATAGTTATAGTACCATATATACACATTTAGTAACTACTTATTTTAAGAATCCTTAATCTAGCCTGCAAAAGATTCTATATTTTTAAATTTAATGTCATGTTTTTTCTAAACAAACGTAAGTTGACACTCCCATGAGTCTTTTTATTATATTTTCTTTATATATAGTGGCTTAACCATTCCCTCAATTTCCAATGGGCGGGGTGCAAAGTTATAGTAGAAAGTTTCATCATCAACTACCTTCTTTTCATGGCCTTTGACCTAGTGATTTTCAACCATCCGGTTGAACCGCTTCTAACAAACGGGTTCCACGTTTGGGTCCTGTCTGACATTACGGCCCGATTGTCCATTCCGACTGAACGTAGTTCAATATTTAAAATATTAATTAACAACATTAAATTATTTTAAAAATAAAAAGTTGTTAATAATGATATAATTACCCTTGCTGTATTCTACTACTCTTAATTTGTAAGCTATTGATTTCTGTAGAATTTTTCATGATAATATTAGACATCTTATTCTCTTGTTTTTTATCTATAGGACAAGTGAATGGAGATTTGATTTAGATAATTATATTTTTTAAATTTAAAATATATTTTGTTTTGGAATCATAAGTTTTTTTTAAAAAAATATTTTATCAAAAATTTAATATGTTTTTCTTAATAGGTATGGCGATAGTTCTGTTTGTTATGATGTATGAGAGCAAGTTTGTTTTGTTAGCTAGCTAATTGTTTCGTCATATTATACTTTAATTTAATAAGCATCAACAAATAGAGGAGAGTAAAAAGAAATTTTTTAACAGTTATTGTGTGACAACGATCGCCTTGGTGAAATTCTTATACAGAGACGTTAACTTTTATCTGCTTAGCTTATATTAGAGGAACCGGTCGGGAGTGACAGTTCTACGGTCTGGTCCCATCTAATTTAATGGTACAATCCTTAGAAAAAAGACCGCTTCATACACTACTTAGACCACCTTTTTAAAATTCTTACTACGGATTTTTAAAGAAATTTTTTCTACTTCCTTTATTTTGATTTTTTAAATCTTTCATCAGCTTCTTGAAATTTTCTCTCATACATTCTAATATCTATGTCAATATTTGTGCTTTATGGGGCTATGATCAGTTTAGTCCCTAAGCTATATCTGCCTAACCCTAGAAAATCACCAATAAATTTATTTAAATTTTTAAAATTGGGTCCATAATATTTACATTTTTCGCAGCCCCACGAGTATACTCGCCCTTATGGCTATTACGCTTCTGGGTTTAATTAATTCATTCGCAAAATTATCTGCTAAAATGTCCTTATACTTCAATTGCTGATATTTTTTAACAAATTTCTTTTGACATTCATTTTCTAATTTTAATATTATGGAAAATGGTAAAAATTTATAATTGCGTTACATTAATCATATCGAATATTTCATTTTGTATTATTATTATACAAATAAATTCAAAATAAATGTCCTTTTTATTTTCAATTTTTTTTTACATAAAATTATTTACTATAAAATGCAATAACATTGACAAATTTGATATGTATAATAAAACATGCATAAAAAATAATAAATTAATTGATATTATATTACATTTGAAACAAAATCAAGACGGGAATAATAAAAAGACAATGGAATTGTTATCCTAGATTGCAAGTCTTTGACGAAGATAAAACCCATCTTTTGGATCCTCTATTTTGACAAATTTGTCTGCCAATTTTTGATTAGGACTTGAGCTTGAGAACCAAGAGTGGTCATGATAACAAATACGAACTGATAATGTTAAAGCTCGGAAATAATAAAAGATTTCATTTGTGGTAGAAAAAATTTTTTCCATTGGTAGAATCGTTAGCAATGAAATTTTATAGCAAGGCATATAAAAAGCTCTGTTCATAATCAATATCAATTTATTTGGGCAGGGTAAAAAAATATTCTTGATATTTTTTTTTTTTAATATAATCATGTAAAATGTGCATAATGCCATAAATGTAAATCTATTTTTAAAACTCAAAGAATTCAACTAAACATTTTTTATTCAGTTTGATATTTTATTTATATATAAATATGATTATATTTTGAATATAAATATTATTGTTAGTTTTTGTTAATAAAATAAAAATCTTTATCACTAAATTTTTAGAATTTAAAAATAAATCCTAAATATTTAATATTATCTGTAATACATTTGTAATAATGTATCTATCAAGATATACATATATATATATATATTTAGATACATTTGAAAAGTATCTTAGCAACTCTATATATTTGTAACATTAAAAAATAATATTCAAATATATTTCAACAATAACAATATAAAATTTTATCAATAAAAAATTTAAAATTATAACCTAATTTTCTATTCCAAGTCTGTTTCCAAAATTGGATTGAACTATGCCAAAAGAGGAGTATTCTTTCAACAGAGACCAAAAAGCTGCTACATCTAAGAAATAATTAAAGATTAGATTCTGTATTATCAGCAACAATAATTATATTATAGGATCTATACCACTCAATATCGAAACATTTTATGTGGAAGCATAAACGTTTCTGATTGTTATTTAATTATAAATATCACCTCATTTTTATAATAATCAGTCAAAATTGGATTGGTGTAAAAATTTATTTTCTTATCCATATTCTCTAGGGGATGTTGAAATATTATAAATCTTTCAATTTTTTTCTGCGATTAGTATTATTTAGATACTTTGATAGTGCTTTGGCTAATCGCTGCGTCAATTCTATTTTTTTCTTGAAACTTCTTTGTTCAGCAACAAACTCTAAGATAAACGCCCACAAGATTTGATTGACCTATATATGGTTGTAGTATTTCATTTTATAATTGGTCCAGTATCAAATTACTACATTATTTGTCTCATTTGCCTGTGTCTCCAAAATAGTCGGTTTGTATTAATGAAGACTGATGAGTCTAATAATGAAAATGAAATAACATAAGATAACATTCCTGGTTCAATAATAAGACAAGTATAATCAATGCCTAATATGATTCTATTCTTCGGCGTTATAATATGCAGCCTATTAATATATTTTAACAAGAAATTATTAAAATAGGCTGCTGACAAGACAAGTATCGGACAAGAGAAATTGAAGGCATTTTAATTAATATCTTTTAAAAGAGAATTGTTGAAGAGATTCTTGTTTATTTGCATTGTCGCTATAAGTTAATACGAGATTTATTAACATAAAAACTTTACCATATTTTTTTTTAATATTTATTTAAATTCTATGTATGAAGCAATATTTTCAATATGTATGATTTTATATGTGGCTAAGACTTTTGGCAGTCTGAATCCATTTAACCCCCAAGTTATCGAAACAACCCTATTGAAAAATATTAATCATTTTTAAAAAAGAAATTCAAATCAAAATTAGTGAAAATTTTTTATATGTGTAATAAGTGTGTAATATTCCACGTCAAATGTGAGCAAGAAAATCGAAATTTTCTGTCGATCCCTATCAATTTCGATAAAAATTTGCAAGCACGTTATATATGTTATAATAGTATCTGAGACAAAATTTTTAGCTCATTAGCATTTATATTACCTGTGATAATTTGATTAAAGGTAAAAATTTAAATTAATATTTCATTATGAACTTTAAATTTTTATTTTCTATTTATTTTTTATAATTTCTTAGATAATTAGCTCGGCTCAGTGGCATAGACAAGGGGGGGTTGAACCCCCCCCCCACATACCTCCGGATTTTTTTTTTAAATTTAAATTTTTTTTTTATATTGTGAATAATTTTATTTAAAAAACGGTTTTGATTTAGAATTAAAATAATATATACGATATCAAAGTGAAATATATTTTATAAGAATCTTTAATTTTAAATAGGACTGTGCCGATATTAAATATCGGATCGGATCTGTACCGATATTTAGCGTTTTCCGAAAATATCGGATCGGGCCGATACCTGTAAAAACCGATCCGATGTTTTTATTTTTCTTTTTTTAGTTATTTTAATGTATATTTATTTTTCATTATAATATTTTCTAAATAATTTTTTTAAATTTTATTTCTTTTTTAAAATAGATTTATAGTATTTTAAAAGTTTTTTTTTATAAAAATAGAAAGGAACACCCAAAGTTTTATTTATTTTAAATATTTTTAAATAACGCCAATTTTTTATACTTTAAATAAAAGAATTTTAAATATGGTATCTGAATTATGGAAATATTTTACAAAAGACAAAGATAATTTTTGCAAAATGCGTTATCTGTGGGATCATCTGAGTCTGCCTTCAGTACGGCAAGAGATATATATAGTCCATATCGTAGAAATTTATTCCCAGAAAATCTAGAGGCTCTCATATTTATTAAATAAATCTAATATATTATAATTTTATATATAAATATTACAATTTTATAATTCTAACATAAAATGGTTATATTATTAATATTTTTTTATTATAATCTTAATTGTAGAAATAAAAAAATTAAATTATTCATAATTCGATTTTTTGCATAAAAAATATTGATTTCTTAATTACACTTGGTTCAAACGGGGTGATTAAAAATCAGTAAAAATATCGGATCGGTATGGTTTTGAAGCAATATCGGATCGGATCGGTGAAAAATATGTGGATCGGCACATCCCTAATTTTAAATGATCACAGGGTTTAAAAATATATATTAAAAATTATACGAACTAAAATATTTACCATCTCAATTCTTGTGATATATCGGATGCTTTAAAAGCCATCTATGAATTAAAGTTATCAATATCTAATATATTGAATAAAAAAAATTTGACATTGTTACAACCAACAGTACAAGAATAATTATTATAATTGCAATCATTTGGTTAGGGAGGCAGGTATCATTGAGAGCTCATAGAATATCTGCTGGCCCCTTATGACTTAGTTATTAATACTAGATTCAATATTCCAAATAATTTAGTTTTTAACTTAAAACTATTTAACATTAGTAAAAGGTTAAAAAGGCCGATTTTTGTACTTATAATTCCTATCATCTTATGTAATATAATTGCTAATGAGCTAATATTTCGTTTCAGATATTTATTAGAACATACAAAGCGTACAAATTTTTGTCTAAATTGAAAGGGGTCGGCTTTAAGGTGTTTGATTTGACATAAACAGTTCGAAATAAAATATATGATCTATCATGGCTGCAATATAAATTTAACCCATCGTTTTGGACATGTTCTTGGTAATAAAATATACAAAAAATTTTCCACGAGGCCGAAGCGTCTTCAGCCCTCCCCTGTATTTAAATAATAAATACTATTTTATTAAATTAGATCATCTTATAACAATGGATCAAAAGCACGATCTCATCATAATTCTTATAACTCAAAAGATTATGATAAGGATAAGAGGTTCTCCGAATATTCACATAATATTAGCTATGATGAAAAAAATCTATTTAATGATGATTCTAGAAAAAAGGATCATTCAGTCACAAACTATTATGATCAAAAATCTCATAAAGACAAAAGAAAAGCTCACTCCTCCTTTTCATCACAAGCACATCAAAATAGAAAAATTAATGTTAAACCAGATTATAACAATGAGCAAACTTCGCTAAACTCTTCTCTCGAACTCCGAACTGTTGTAGAAATGGATAAGACAACTGGCTATTCTTTTCCTATTTTATACAACTCTAAAAGTTACAAAACTTGCCAAAAGAATTTAACAGATAATTCGTTTACCGTTTTGCCAAATTATGCATCACATTTGGTCAGCCCAATTCAATCTTCTTCATTCTTAACTACCCAACGCTCGTTGTCTTTCAATCAGTCACCATTAAAAAACGATATTAATTGCATTAACACTCTCTTTCCTCGACTTGATGTTGCGATGCCTTTATCTAATATAATAAGCAATATTAATTCTCTCAGCACTTTACATAATCCTTATGCTTCACAACACCTTATGCAACAAGCCAATTACTTAAGCACTACTTTATCAATTCCCATTAGCACCCATTTATTACATCAAAATCATAATTCTCAAAATTCTTTATACATCAATAATGTTTTACAACAGGCGCCACAACATTATAATTCATCCTCATCACAGCAACTCATAAATTCTATTCTATATTGGCAATCCCCCACCCCTCCCCCCTCCATAAACAATAATCTCCAAAATGGCATCTCTTCTTTCAACCAAACAAATTTGTCTGACACTTCTAATTACAGAAATTTTTTGAATTCCATTGGTACACCTTCGTTTGATAGCCTTAATCTCATTTCCAAAGTGAGTATTAACAAAATTAAAAATTTTATTATAATTTTATTATGATTAAGGTAAGCGATACTAGTACAAATAATCTGATCTTAGATTCAAAAATACTACCAAATAAAGGAAAATTACCAGAAAATTGGAAAATAGCATTCGATAACATCTCCGGCAAGCCTTATTATTATCATAAAATTACAAAGTTTGTATTTAAAATAATTAATAAATTTTTTAATTTTATAATATTAATGATAGACAAGTCCAATGGGATTTTCCAATCGATAATAAAATATCCGAAACATCATCATCTTCTACTTCCCCCAATTCCAACAATTCTGAAAATCTTGAGGTCAAATCTAATAAGGAACACAATAAACAAGTTATTTCATTTTCTAAAAATTACTGTTTTACTGAAATTTTTTAAGTTCAAAATGCATTAAAAAAAATTAGCTCGAAAAAATAATTTATAATATTTTATAATCTACCACCCAAAACCGAATTTGTTTTTTATAACGAAATTTTTCTCACAACTAACACCATATTAAAAAATGTTGGTTAAACTATTTTTAAATTTATTAAATATTATCTATAAATTATTTAAATTATTTAAATTAAATAAAAATGAGTTCTTACCACCCTGTTAACCGCGCTAACCGAGTCACAATTCTATTTTTTTTGTTTAATATTTTAACTCTAAAATTATTTTGAAGTTTTTATTAAACATCTAATTTCAAAAGTTTATTAGGATAATGAATGACTTTCGTAAAATTATTAAAAATTTATGCATCAAAATGTTGTTATAAAATATTAAATAATTTATATAACCGGTATATAAACCCGAGGTTGAGGATAGGTTTCGGGTAAAAATAGACTATTACTCAACTATTATTCACTAAAAAATTAAGCGTGTTGAAAATAATTTGCACCAAAATATAAATTTTTTCACCACATAAAATATATAGAAATTTAAAAGAATGACCCAATTTCTAATATACAAGGCTCTATTTTTTTAAAAAAAATTTCCACTCGGCCCGGCCCGAATTTTTTAAAATATAATATATTTAATTTTTATAGGGCGGGCTTGCAGGTCTCTTCAAATTATATTTAAAAAATGAATATTTAGATTAATAAATACACATAAATAACTAAAGAAATATTGCATAATGTATAAATCGGCAAGGCAAAGGTATTTTTTTTTATAAAAAAAAATATAAATTCTTTTTTATGATTGAGCTAATTTTTTAATGATTTCATCAGTATTTGGTGTTAAATCTCTATGTTTATTAAACTTTTCAAATAATTTATTTTCTGAGGTATCACTTCCTTTATAAGTTTTACTTTTTAAAAAAAACGTCATTTGGCAAACTTAAAGTTTATTAAATCGAGGTGTAAATAACACTAAAAAGAGGTTAATACTTCTACTAATCTAACAATAATATTTGAACAATGGATTTGTCTTGGTGCGAGTAGAGGTATGTGATTCTCAAATTCATAAAGCTCTCCTTTAAACTCAAGAATCATTTTAATTCTTCATCAACATATGATTATTTGTGCTACGATTTTTATGATGTTAACTAAACCAATATTATTCTTTTGATAATTGCACATTTATTTATTCATACATTATAATGGAAAGAAAATAACGAGAAGGCGTTTTTTCAAAAAAAAGTTTTTTTCAACTATTTCACTAAGAGCACATAATAGTTTCCTCTAATCCATAAAATCAATTATTACTTAATGATGGAAGTTTTTTAAAATATTTTAATAATCTGCTTACCCCCCCCCCCATCCGCTCTCTAATACGCTATTATTCTAAAAAATAGTAAAGAGCAAGCTAAAAGGCAAAAATAGGCGAATTTTTTTTTAATTATCGAAGAATTTCATATATAATTCATTATATCTATATTATATAAAAACTGAAATACAATGCATAAAAAATGACCTAAATTTTTTGAATGCACTTCATAACTTTATAAAAATAATTATAATTTAATGCATAAATTGGAATAGACAATAGTCGCCTGATTCTTTTTAATAATAGTTACCGCACGCTATATTGTTAGGTTATATTTTGCAGCCCTGCGACTTGTCAGCCACTGAGAAGAATTCTAACTGAGTGGAGGCCTGTTAAAGTTTTCATGATTAAACTGGAAATATTTTATCATAAGACTTCACAATCCATCATAATGACATTCATAAGTTTTCAGCGATAATACACGGAATTATGTTAATACAATTTTGAAACTCTTTCAATTCACATAGGCATTTATTACACTTTAATTCCCTCATAATTGTTATATACAATGTATGTGTGATTTCGATTGGTTAATTTTCGTTTATTCACCAGATTAGGTGCCCCAAAATTTTCCAAGGGGTATCAGTATATACACATGCTCATTAAATTTATTAAGAAAAATAAGGATGAATGTGGATGGCTGGGGTTTTACCAACCAGAAGCACCCAGACGATTTGGGAGCGATTTTGCCCCTTCGAGCCCCGCACATTTTTCTCTATTTTGATGTTGTAGTCTTGGTATGTTCGTTGGGGAAGATGTTAAATTTCATTTTCTGGACGGGAGGTAACTCGTAATAGTCTGAACCTGCCCAAGAAACTTCTTCATCTCCGCTCTTGACGAGATCGAACTTGCCATGGCTCTCGATCTTATGGAAAGCATCGGGGTGGCTGGTGAAAACTTCATTCACTTAATTCTCGGATAAACTTCCGCAGCTCGTTAGCCAGAGGTCAGGTGTTTGGGATACCGAATAAACCCGTGGAGATTGGGAGATTATCGATTATCTCTCCGATCGGTTTCCGCGATCCTTGCTCTATTGCCAGGGCCACCCCTATCATTCGAGTCCTCTCTACGCAAAGTCGCAGTAGGTCTTGCATATCATGAGAAAGCACCAATCCGATAGTTTTGGTTCGAATCCCAGCAAAAGCAAAGATCATATTTTTTTTCTTAATCCAATTTGGTGGTTCTGTCCTTGGGGGGGGGGGGGGGGGGGGTTGATAAATAGGAGGCCGGACTCGACCACGTGATTCCTTTATAATATATGTTAAATAATAAGAGTCTTATTATATGTTAATAAATTTTTATAGATATTTAGCAAATTAGGTTGGTATTTAGAAAACCGCTATACGTTGACTTGGAAGTATCTATATGAAAAATTTTTTTTACATCCATAACCAGGTCTGATCAGAAAACCAAGTTCCATGCAATTTTCATAAAATTTTGCTATTAATTTCTATTGTAATAGTCTTTTTAATTTTATATTCCATTTATTTCTATAGTAATTAGATAAATTTATATTTGTGATAATCATAATTGGTGAAAAGAATGATAAGCTCAGGTTGGAAAATCCTATGAGGTTGGAAACTAGGGATTTCAGGATTTCTATCTGCTGTATTTGTCAAGGGAAAGTTTGAGAAAAATTTTTTAAAATTATATTGACTCGGGCTGGGCTTGGAAAATATTTTTATAAATTATATTGGGCTGAGCTAGTGGAAATTTTTCAAAATTATTATCAGCTTGGATGCTTGGGAATTTTTTTAATTTTTTTTTGCAGACCTAAGCTCGGCCTGATCAAAAAATCAAGGCCCATAAAATCTGATTTTAATTGTATTTTTAAATTCATTGTGATTTTTTAAATACTTTATTCCAGTTCTCAACTACCAAAATTATTATGATCTTTGGTTGGGTTTGGAAAAATTTTTTCAAAATTATTATGGCCTTAGACCTTGCTTGGGAATTTTTTTAGTATAAAATATTAGGCATAGTTGGTCAGTAATATTTTAACAAATAATATTGATATGGGTATCAAGTAAAAGCTTTAAATATATTTTGTCTCAAAACATAGCTTTTAAACTTAGTTTTAATGCTGAAGGTGGAAGGGGTGGTTATAAAGAATAAAAAGTGGATATTATTTTCAAATAACAGGTAACAACTATCATAAGAGTAAGGAGAAAATTCTCATCCACCTTCATTTTTGATGGGCTCAGCAATGCTGACTAACGGGAGCCCTGGTACTCTTAGTTATATATTTTTCAATTTGCCCATCAAGAAAGACGGATCATCATACTTTTTTCTTATATTCGATGATAGATGATTTAGAAATTAAGAATATCTATTGAGGTGTTATTCACATATTTACCTCTTTTTCTCTTAAATTTTAATATTTTTATGAAATATATTAATAAAGTATATTTAGTACCATATACAAACTAACTAATTACCCCCCAACCCCGTCATTCTTGACTGGGTATTAGCTATGAAAATAGTTGATTACAATTGAAGCAATATCGTTAATTCTCATAAAGTTCCTTTTATTCCCAACATTCTTATGAGAAGTTACCGCAATGAAAATTTCCTGGTATTTTCTAACCCTAGTGGTAATTCCACTCTTCAGAAGGTTGTTTCAAAATTCACTTGCAACAGAAAGATTTCAATAGACTTCCAGAATTGGAATCAATATTTAGCGATTTAATTTGATTTGAATTATAATACAATATCTATAAATAATCTCGTATTGAGAAAGAAGGGGCTGAAATTTTAAAAAAATGGAAATACCTGGCATTAAATTCTATATTAAATCTGGCATTACATAAATTATAAAGGATGTAGCGCTTTGTGTTTAATAGAAAATATTATTAATACTTTTGAATTATCTTTTTTCGAGTCATGTGATAATTTGTTAAGATCACGTTTTTTCCTGCCCGCATTTATAAAAGCTAAACACAAATTCCACGAATAAAAGTAGTTTTAATGCTAACATCATAAATATTTGTGAAATAAGAGGTAAATTTTTGTAAAGGAGACGCTACGAAATATTAAAAAGTATATACAATGATTTCAAACAGCACGGTTTGACATGTAATAGGAACTAGGGATATAACATAGGGGAAATTTCCCAGGAAACTTCGATTTCCTCCATAGTTTCTCCAATTTTCATTTTATGTTTTTTTTGATCAAATAATCAGGATTTTGATTATTTTAAGCAAATATTTTTTCCTCTTGGTTCATATATCATAATTGTGTTTTGTTTTTGTATGTACACTCATTTTCGATAATATAATAATAGTTCAACTCTAGTAATGTTCCCCGGGAGGAAATTTTTTTATTGACTGAAATATGAAATATATTAAAATGTTTAATAAATAACTGAAATAAAGATAATGAGTAGGATTAAAGGTTGAGATATAGGATAGGATAGGCCATTCCTCTTCTAATTTTAATTCAACTAATAATATAAATTTTGGAAAAGGTTCATAAAGATAAAAATAAAATTATTTCTTTAAAATTGCTTACACCCAACTCTTTGATCATTGTAGTTTTGATAATTAATAATATTTTGCGGTAATAGATAAGAGACTTAATCTGTTTGATAATGAATTTTTTTTAAATGATATTGAACCGCTTAGCTATACAATTTTATAAAGTCATGTACACAAATAGAGATAGTGGAAGTGAACAAAGCAACTTTATCTGGCATTCCTGAAGCATTTATTTATATCAAGGATATCACAGAAAATAGAGATCGAACAATTTATAAAATAAAAACGGAAAATTGTTGCTAGGACATACATTACCCTACTCATATACTTGACCCAAAATATTACGGAATTAATAAAACAATGAAATTTATAAAGGTTAGATGTCATAAACCGATTTTTTGGATACCTAGATTTAGATGTTGTGAGATAAATAACAAATTGCTAAATTTTAGAGATCTGGAATCGTTTTCATCTTCAAACGAAGATATCAAATTATATGATTGAAATTATATCACATCTTTTTAAATAATATATTAATAGTTTTTATAATTTTTAAAGGAAATTTCCCGTTTTTTTCGCGGGAAATTTCAATTATCAGGGATGTGAACCCTTCGAGGGTCCGGGTTCTGGTACAGGAATAAAATTTGAAAAGACTCGGGTCCGGGTTCAGGGAACATAAAAATAATGACTCAAAATAAGATTTTTTTTCATTCATTTATTATTATACTTCAATATATACATAATTTACAAATGAAAAATTTAAAAATGAAATAATTTATATTTTAAATGTATTATTCAATCGCACAATCATAATATCTTCTAAAATATCAATCATCCTTGAGATTTCCACGTAAATTAGACAATATATATTTCACAGATGAAAATTCACGTATACCCTTACCTAAAATAGATAGTTATCTTTATAAAATTTTTGTACTTGTAATGCCGGTACAGCCATTAAGATTCTAGATAAGATATATAATTCTGGATATATTGAAGAATTTTTTTCCCAGAATTTTAAAATATTTATATCCTTAATTATTCTCATAACTTCTGTGAACTTTACTATTAAAGTTGCAATAGGCATTTTTTGATCCTGCTTTCTGATGATAATTTGATTTTTATTTCTCTATCTAAAAGTAAAATTTAAAGATCATCAATAGTATTATTATCACTACTACTAGTAGGTATTGTCGTAACCAATATATTGTAAATAATGGAGTTTTGAGTATGCCATAAATCCTTAAGATGGTCTTTAGCCATTTGTTTTTGCTCAATATTCAATAAAACTTGATATCGAGGGTCTAAATATATAGAATAGTATACAACACTATTTTGCAAATATTGTTGCTCTCAAATTTTTATGTTTTCTAATATTTCGTATAAAAAGAACTTAAATTTTTCTAAAATCTTAATATTGTTATTTTAAGGAACTAATAACTAGTAAGTTCCTTTATTTGGCAATAATTATCTTCCAAAATGACTTCACATGCCTATAATAAAATCATTACAGAAATCTGTTAAACTTAATAATCGTTCTAGCATCATACAAATTGAGGATGAACGTGTTGTGCATTATCACATAAATTAAAATATTACAGATTCACTTTAAAAATAATCAACGTATTTCTATAACATAGCACATTAAAAAATTTACATAATAAAATATTAATACCTACACTAATGATATCAATCTCTAAATTAAATGGAAATCCAGGAAGAAAATTGAAAGAAAAACGCGAAGATAAAATAAATAATTCCACAAAAAAGTTAATAAAATTTTAAAAAATTTATATTATTTTTAAAAAAATATTGTTATTTTTAAAAATTTTTATGACACCTAGAACCCTTGGACTTTCCACTTTAGCCAAAATGCAAGGGTTCAGAAGGGTCCGGGTTCGAGTTGACATCCCTGGTTCTGGCAAATTTAGATCTCTAATAAGAACTCAACCAAGCTTTTGAAATACATTTTTATATTATAAATGAATCCAATATGTATATTATATATAGCATTTTGAATAAAGTTTCACCAATTTATTTAATTTTTATGAAAAATAAATTCGGTTTGGGTAGTATTTATATTGTTTTATTTGGCAGTTATCTAACTAATTCTATTTATTTATATAAACACTATGGTATTAATGCACTCAGAAAAACAATGATCATAATATTAGCCGGGATACAACAGTTCATAGAATTAAGGAAAAGTTCCGAAATGAAGTATGAATATATATAAAATTTAAATCACTTATTTTTGACAGGTCTCTACTTTCGTGGTTCAGTATTTAACTCCCTATCTTAAAAAATGTTGCAAAATTGGCCGCATCAATAGTACAGACGATTTTAAATATTTAGCTAGAAAAGTATTTAAGATTAAATTTCTATTTAAAATATTGTTATTTGTTTTAGCTAACACATACTATCATTGGCAAAGAGATGGAAAGAAATATCTCGAATCCCCAAAATATAAGATTTTCTAACTCAGTTAAATCTAAAACAGAAGTCTTTATCGAAAAATATATGATAAAATTGGGTCCTGTATATATGAGGAACCCAAAAATATTATAATATGCTAAAATAATTGTAATATATTAGTTTATATTTATTTTTCATTGTTTACATATCATTCTTTATAATTATAATAATATATATTTTATAAATAATTATACAAAGAATAAATAAATAAATTTGCATAATTTTGTACAATCTCCGAAGATGGAGAGAGGATCATGTGGTTAACTATTTAAAAAAAGATATAAATCAAGAGCCACTTTCTTGACAAAAACAAAACACCTAATACTAGAGGCACGCACGGGCTGTCCGAAGCCTGAGCCTCGGGTTGGATTCGGACATTGAAAAAATTTTCTCGGCCTCAGATCGAGCTGTAAGATGTGTCCGACCCGATAAATTGATATTAAAAATAGAAATATCTTTTATTTCACAAATATGAATATGTTGATTGTTATATGTTTCAGAAATTTTTCTCTATATAAACAATTATAGCATCTTAGCAAAATCTTTGAAGATCAAAAATTCGTAAAAATAAATTTCCCTAAATGGGAAATTTTATAACTTTTTTTAAAAAAAAACGTCAAAAAACATTTTTTTATTTTGCTCAATCTTTGAGCATGCTCAATCACATTTTTTTGATTTCCAAAAGAGCAAAGATTTTTGAATTTTGAGCAAAAACCCTGAATAATTTTTAATTTATCTTATATATTTTAATATTTTATAACCTAAATTATAAAAAATCTTTTATTCATCGGGTTCGATCTAAAAAGGTGTGCTCGGGTCTGGGTCTGACAAAAAATTTTAGAATTCGGCTCAAGCCGCGAAAAATTACTTTGCAGACCTCTACTTAAAACATTCATTATAAATTTTTTTTTCGGAGCGTTAACTTTAAATCACACTTAGCAATTAAGATTTCAAAGGTTTTATTACACAAATAATATTTTATATACAATCTATTGTATATAAATTTTTTTAAAGAATTGATAGAATCATGGTGTAGTAATAAAAATCAATTTGATTTAAATCACAAATTTAATCAAGTTATTTAAAAAAAAATATTGATTTTGTGGTGATTACGATTAAAAAGCGACTGAAAGCATAATTCTGAAAATGTTAAGTGCTCAAGTGTAGATTAATTTAATCCGTTTGATAGACAGTAGAAAGAAAATTAATTGGCATTATGCTAGAATGAAAAATTTTAAAAAAATGTACACCTTGGGGTTACGCGTGAAGTTAGCCTAATTTTTGGAAAAATCTGAAACTTATACCAAATCATTGTGGGACTTTATTAGAACATTTTATTGTTTTATTCTTTTGGTAGATGACTTAAAGGGGAAAAGCTTATTGGTAAAAAATACCAACCAAATACAAACTATCATATTGCACCAAGCGCAAAGTCATCCAAAGATATAGTAGCATTCTTTCTGATATTTATATCTATAATTAATGCATATTTCATATTTTTTAGTACTTCAACCACTTTGGTAAATAATTTAAAGAAAATCATTGGCATAATAAAAATAAATTGCCAAGATTGATATCATGTTAGAGGGAAAATTATAGAAGTAGTCAGCTTCTCCATGTAAGTGGGGGGGGGGGACAATTCGAATAAATTTTCTTGAGGGGGGTAGGCGCGGGGAAGGGGGGGGGGGGGTTGAGATAAATATATTGTGGGTAATCTATTAAATTTTTAGATGTAGGACAATATATTGCTGTAATAATTAATACTTTTATTATAGACCTATTATAATAAGATATTGCTGCATCGACCAAATCTATATATTGCAAACAATCATAGACATTATTTTTCAAATAAAACTTTCTGCATTTAAAAGGGTTAGACATTCCCAGCAAACTCATATTCATGCCAAACAACATGCTATAATAACGCATTCATTGTAAATTAGAGGGTTTTTAATTGAATTCATAATCTAATAAATAACTTTTTTTATATTCACAATATTTTTAGAGTTGGTAGTGTAGCTAAAATATTTTGGGTTATTTTTAGAAATTATGAAAGGAATACCATTATAATTAAAAAGGTGTAATTAATAATATGAATCAGTTTTTCTAATCAATAAATAAAAACCAGATATAAACGAAATAAAAACTATGGCACGCCTTAGACTAAGTCATAAATATTGAATTTTAAATTACTATTCAAAAATCAATCATATCTAAATACATAAAAGTTTTTCCCTAAAATATGGTTGAATTATCTGATTCTATGATTTTTATAAATATTACTTGTTCTTTTTACTTTATTTTTATAGATTTAGCAAATAAATTATATTATTAAATTTGTAAATATCTAATTTTCAGCCCTAACCACCCCTCCTATCTCCGCTAGAATAGACTGGAAAAAAGATGATAATGGAAGCTAGTCAAGCATTTCTAGATACAATTACTCATCCATTCTATAAATAACCCTAGGGATTATCATCTAGATTTTAAAAGTGTTGTAGTTTACATTTGTTAATATATATTTTTTATTAAGTGATTTATTTTAACTTGTATTAATTTCGAAATAGCGTCTGGACTATATGTATTCAAAGACATATGTCATTGTATGTATTACATTAAAAAGAAATTGTAAAGATCATTTATCATTCGTGAACTTTAAAAAAATTCAAAATCGATTATTTCAACAATATCAAATGACAATCAAATAATTTATAAATGTCGTAAATCAAAATTGTCAATCATTATTTATTCTGATAATGACTGGTCATCTATAAGAGAATTCTTTATTTTGGTTAGGGTACTAGTTCATTCAAGGCTTGTGTTACTTGCCACTATGGTTGCATTTAAAAAGTTTTAAAAAAGTTTAAATTTTATTAAAGAACGCATTTTGTCATATTTCACCATCAAGTATCACGTCAATTCGGCGCATAAAATTTGGCGCGGCGACAATTCAGCGCAGCGTCAATTCGGCACTACGACAATTCGGCGCAGCGACAATTCAGCGCGGCGTCAATTCGGCGCGTATCTATTACAGTTGCAATTTATTATATATTACTTAGTATTAAAAAATAAGGATGATTAAATAGAAATCATTTTTAATGTTGGTCCTAATAATTATTTCTTCATATTTATTTTTACAAAAATCGCAATTTTATTTACTAAATGTGTAATATAAAAAAAATTAACAACCAATATTTATACCTATTTCTTTGTTGACCAATTATCACATAAGGTATGTTGATTAGTAGCCTGTTATGTAAGCCGAGATTTTGGGCATGGAAGAAAGAAATCGAATCTTACATATTATTTTGGCTAGAATTTAAATCGACTGTTTTTAGAAATAGACCCAGCCATGATCCAAAAAAAATCAAATTAAGACTTACTCATTTTTTAGATTTATTAAAAATCCTTAAATTCTATAAATCCTTTTTTAAAAAAATATTATCCTTAGGCTAATTTTTTCTATTAGATAAATCAAGAATGAATTAACGCACAATTTTTTTTATTTATTTATAAAGTGAATAAAGAAAATATAAATATACTATACAAAACATGCTATTAAAAATACATTATATTTGTAAATTAAAATTATATGAGATACCCCCTTAAATAATCATTAATCGGACGATTTACATAGTCAGATACAATTAATATACATCCGTATCCCGATACCTCTTTCTTTATCTAGGGGGTTATTAACCAGAAATATATTATACAATTTTTGCTTCGGTTAACGATTGTTCAACCGTAGAGCATCAAACCTTGGTGGTTGTCTTTCTCTAATACGAAGAATTTTCCTAATCCAATTAGCTAATATGTTATAAGATTATATAAGACCCTTTCATTATCATGATAGAATGGTGTTTTTGTAAGTCTATTAAAAGCATCAACTACATCATCCATGGGAACAAATGTAAGAGAGAGAGCATTAGTCTAATTTTTATAGACCACTCATATCCTGCATCTTTATCTAAATAATGTGCTAATAATTTGCCATCACTCTGTATATGTCTCCAAATCGCTTGGGTCATATGAAAAAAACACCCTCTTACAGTTATTGGCGGTAATGAATGTGTAAAGGCATTTATTTCAGCCTGCTCAAAATCGATCATTACCGATATAGGATTTAGATTATTTTTTAATCTTTTTATCTCATCCAAGACCCTTATATATGTAATCTGGGTTTTATTCGGTGGCGCAAAAATTGTGGGTACAATCGTTTTATGTGCAAATGCTTGCTGTCATATTGAAGGAATGGCCAACATGTTTTTCTATAGATATCGAGCAAATCTAGATCATAACTGTTCGTCGGGTTAGATAATGGAGAACCTATAAGCGATCTAGCCCGCTGAAGTGACGCGATGGGTGGAAGGGCAGCATGAAGGGGTAGGGAACCCTTTGCTATTGCAATGCTTATAATTTTTTGAGATGTGTCAGTCACCTCAATGGCACGTCTTTTAATATTATTTAAACATTCGGTTTTTAATATCTCAGTACCATCTAACACATGATTATAATTATCTATATGAAGAATTACTTCTTCATTTAATGTATGGCACCGCCCTTTGCAATGGGTAGGTCTACCTTCCAATAATTTATAAGACTCATATTGTTTTTTGATTTATAGTTCTCTCTTTCCTGAATATGTATTGATCATGAACAAGTTGTTTTGACCCACGTTCACTTATAACATATTTTAAAGGCATTCTTAAAAATAAATGTATAAAAATTATAAATGATATACAGAAATAATATTAATATATACCTTTATCCGGAATTCTCAATTTATAATGATTGAATTTTGGAAAGAAATTATAAAGATTAAATTATGGAAGGAAAAGAAAAAAAATAAAGTTTTTTACAGACTTTTTAAAATGGAAGAAATGACAAAATTTCAAGATAAAATATAATTCTATTTATTAATTTTTTGTCAATAGTTAGGCGGAAAAAATAAAAAAAGGAGATTTGTATTTTATGTTTTTTAGAATGTAAACTTTTATTTTTATTGTTGAGAAAAATAATGATTGAATTCTTTAAAATTGTTGAACAAAAAGAGAAAATCCCAAAATAAAATATTAGGCGTAAAAAATAAA